AGCAGGAAGACACTGGAGAGCAGGTTACTGGGAAGCAAGGCAAGCGGACCACCTTACACACACTGCTGCTGCATGACACTGCAGGCTTCTTTTCAGTTCTTAGGGGAAGGACACATGCAGAACGGGAAAACCAGGCTTTCCACACAATTTTGAGCACGCACAGCCTCCTTTGCTATATTTAGCCTTACCATTGGGCAATAGCCAACTCACTTTCTCTAAGCTCTCCAACTAGGAAAAGGACAGGGCAAAGTTTAATTTAGAAATACCCACAAGTTTATTTTTGGAATTATTTTCTTTTATCCCACAGGCAACCCAAAGAACCTGCAGGAAGCAGGAATATTTGTTGGGGAAAGAACAGAAGAAAGTTATAAGTTTGGGGTTTGTTTCCAAGACTACATACATAATTTTCATTCTTTCTTATAGAAGCAAAGTACCAGCTAATTAGAGAGGACAAAAAAGGAAACACCTCCCCCACCAGCACCAAGCTCCACCACCACAGGACTCAAGTCTGCCTTTGTTAGTTCTTCTTGCTTTTTCATATGCCCCCTCAAAGATCTGTGCTTCACTTTGGAGTTATCCTCCTAACACTAAAAACCTTGCAGGGATGGTAACAGTTAACAAAAAACAGACAGTGAATGAGAATGGAAGCAGAGTGGCTATTCTCTCCTTACTTTGAAGTGTGGTGATGAATGGGGTTTTGGCAAGTATACTCCAGGCTCAGGAGCCAGACACTGGTAACTGAAAAATCCAGTCTTAATCTCAACAGAGATTTCCTTAAAAGTGCATGTGTGGCACTTTTCCTTTGGGGGGTTGGCGGTGGTAGGGGAAGCAGGGCTGGAGGGAAGGGAAGGGGAACAGACCAGAGCTAGGGGATCTTGGATTCAATGTTCTTAGGGCATATATGCTTGTGGCTGGGGATCAGCTCCAACATTTAGTGATTTTCAGGTGCAACTGATGGTCAGTAGGTCTTTTCAAGCACAGTACAAAGATAATAATTATAGGCAGATGACCAGTGTTCCACATGGCCATACTCTACCTCTAGTCATGGTTGCCAAGACTTGGCTGAAACAACTCCTACCCCCCTCTAAGCCCTCCCTCTGATCCTGCTGCTGTTCCTCACATCATCCACAGGTGAGGAGGGAGATCTCTTACCCAGAGTATCGTTTTTTAGAGTTGTTCTTTCTGATGACAAGACACACGACAATAGAGATGAGCGGTGAGAGACCTGTAACCGTACCGATGACTATCCCTGCCACCATGGCAATGGGGAACGCAGGCAGGCTGTCTGGGGAGAGAAGGGAGAAAACATTCAACTCTTCTGCATTCCCTGATTAACAGAAGTGCAAACCACAAATGCTCTTGACCTTGGATTCGTTTAGAGCAGAAGGCACTAATGTAGTATCCAGGAATTGTAACATGCAGCCTAAGTGGTAGTGATAGCAGGCAGCCAGCAGAATAATGTATGAACAGAGCACACACCAAGAGTGTTCTTAATGTCACTGTCCTTCAGAAGAGAGTTTATATTGAACCAATAATTTTTACATGTCAGGAAACACAAGTGACAATGAGGACAACCCTGTCTCATTTTGTACCTGAAGGGAAAAAAAAAGTTACATTCATCTGGCAGTTCCCAGCGAGGTCAACAGGAAAAGGCAGGCACACTTGAAAGCAGATTTGAATGTAGCACATTGCTAACCAACTAAGAGTGCTGAAGGCTGGGTGTTCTCTGGGTCGCATGCAGCAGACAGCCTAGTTACTACCCATGATCACTCTTAAGAGTGTTTATACATGATTCTGGTCTATCAAAATACATCTCTATACACTTTTATAGAGTCATTCTTTCCCTTCTTAAGTCAGGATCATTGTACGATACTAGAAATACGCTTATAGGAACACAGTATCGCTTTACTGACGTTTTCCCCAATATAATTTTGGGGGAGGGTAGGCCAAGAAAGAGCAGCCAGAAATAAAAGCTAATCAGAGAACGAGTACAAAAGATGTACAAGATAAAGAACAACATACTACCGTTATAGCTTTTCCCAGTAAGAAATGAAGTCCCTCCCCCCGCATCATGTTTAATGCAAGGAACATCTTAGACCAGAGGGTTTCTTGCAAGACTCCATGCTACACTAGCTACTTGCACCAAATACAAGTGAATCAGCATAAGATCCAACAGGTAAAACATCCTATATAGAAAAAAGGAATCTTTCTCAGATATCTGTCTCTGATCATCACAAAATCGTTGAGGTTGGAAGGGATGTCTTGGGATTGTCTAAGTCCAACCCCTCTGCTCAAGCTTGGTCAGCTAACACAGTTTGCTCAATACTCTGTCCAGTTTGGTTTTGACTATCTCCAAGGATGGGAGACTATAATCTCTTTGGGCAACCTATTCCAGTGTTCAACCACAGTAAAAATGTGTTTTCTTATGTTCAGAGAGAATTTCCTGTGTTTCAATTTACACCTGTTGTCTCTTGTCCTGTCACTAGGCACCACTGAAGAGACTGGCTCAGTCTTCTTTAGATCCTATCAATGTACATAAATACCTGCTGAGAGGATCCCCCTGAGCCTTTCTTCTCTTTTGCAGGCGAGACAACCCCCCTTCTTCTCTTTTGCAGGCTAGGCAACCCCAGCTCTCTCAGCTTCTGCTCATATGAAAGGTGGTTCAGTCCCTTAATCATCTTAGTTGCCCTTTGCTGGACTGATTCCAGCAAGGACCACAAACCATGCTTATACAAAGCATTCCCAGCAAGCTTGCAGTCCCATTTTGACACACTTATCTAGAAGGGAGCAGCACAACACAGTACCCTGAAGCAGGGGCATCATACTAAGAAAACGGGGCTTACATTTAGTACTGTTTGTTTTGAGTTCAGTGACTTTCAGGAGAAGGGCTACCTGATCTCTAGCTGTTTCACTGATCACACCATCATTTGGCTGAATATCGCATCAGCAGCTTTCCTAGCCCTCCAGTGTTAGATGCCAATTCATAACAACATGGTAATTCAGAGTCTCAGTACGAAATTAAAGATGAAGACAAGTGCCACAATTTAGAGGAAGACATCCCTTCTTTCCAGAACCTTTTGGCAGCCTAGAGATCCATCTGCTATTAAGGAAGAAAGTCCTACAAATGGTAATACTTTTCAGGTACATAAGACTGAGATTGTGTTTGAGCCCCGTGCAAAGATAAACAAATTTATTTTGAGGCATATAAGAAGTACGAGTTCCCTAGTTTCTGTGCTTTTTCACCTTTCCAAGTGCAGGAATAACTGTCTGCAGAAACATCAAAACAGACATGCATTTCTGTTAGCAGACCAGCTGTTGCCTTGTACCCAAGAAAAAAACCACACACAGTTTTTCAGAGCAAGAAAGTAAGCAGCAATCCAAAACTATAGTGCAGAGTGTCTGCTGAAAGAGTGATATTAAAACTTTGATAGTTTTGTCATTTCTTTGGCTTAGGTGGGTTTTTTCGTTGGTTGAATTTGAGTAAAGGACAGCAGTTACGTTCTGTTGACAGCGGTTTTTAAGACTGTATTAAAAAAATGCAACCGTTTGGATGTGAAATTAGAGTCTGGTTTTATTGCCTCTCAGAACATGGTCCAACGGACTATAGAAAAGCTCACACAATTTTACGACCACATAGTTCAGCTGAAGAATGTCGTCCCCGCCATGTTTTTCTTGTATTTTTCAGCATTCCACAGTTACATGAACTCCTCATAAGTACTTGCAGAGCAGCCAGTAACTTCATAGTAACAGACATTCCCAGCTACATAACCAAACACCATCTCTGAAAGCTAACATTTAAGTTAATAGCTTAACATAAGCCAAAAATCAGCCTTTCAAGAACACTTTTCACTAAATATCACCGTAATTCAAAGCAACTTCCATTTTCGCTGAAAGTGTGTTAGTATCAGTTTTATGAAATAGGCAGGAAACTGAAGTTTTCTATTGCTGCTAAGTATAAAGATTTTCATAAGACAGTTCTAATTCTTTCCCCCATGAGAGTTCAGATCAAAGATGGACGACCTCCAGATAACACAAGCTGTCTTGAACACAGTGTTAAGTAGCTTCCTATTACAAGTAGGAGCAGCCTAATGTAAGGACTTGGAATTCCCCACAGATTTTTGTCATTTAGGCTTTGAACAATAGCCTTTTCCAGATTCAGAAGCACTAGTGAAAGAACAGTCTCGCTTCTCATCCCTGCCAGTAGGATTCTTCCAACATAGTTGATGGAGCTGTTTGTGCAAACACTATGTAGATGCTGCAGTGAAAATCAGCTGAGTTAGCTTGGCTTGGCAATTTTAAAGTTAAGCCAACCTGGAACTTATTAAATGTTTAATCCAAAATCTAAAGCTAACCAAGCATCTATGAGATCATTTAAATGTGTAAAGTATGTATGTGGCTTTAAACAGTTTACAACACCAGACACACGATTCAGAACAAATAAACGTATACATAGTAAAAAAAAAAAAATAATGCACAAGAGTCAACATGTACTTATTCCAATTGAAAAAATTTCTCCAGCTCAGTTCAGGATGAGTTACAACCTATTGTAAGAGCAGTACTTTCAGGTAAAGTCAGAATGCAAGACAGCATTACAGCTATTGCTTGAAAACCTGTTTTCAAGGTCTTCCTAAGAATTTGAAGACAATTGTTGCAGCATTTTTCTGATGATGGGAAGTACTGCCAAATACAGGGTCCCCTTCAGAAACAGTGAGATTCTCTTGTCCAGATGCTCCACCTATGGGGAAGCCGGCATGCAAATCTGTTGAAAAATACCAGCTGAATTAGTGTACTGAAGTCAGTCTTCGTTTGCTTAACCTGGGTTAAAATCTGAAGAGGCTTTGCCAAGACAGCCTGACTTTGCCAAACCAGCAGTTGCTTTACTGCTTCTTCATAGAGACAATCAATACATTGTAAGAAAATAAGCTGACCCTATTTTATATAGACTTCAAACTTCCAAGAAACAGAAAGTTCTAAGTGATGGCGGGACCTCCGGAGGTCCCATCCAACTCAAACTGCTCTGTGAAGAGAAGAGTTAGATATAACAAGAAGAGTTATAGACCTTGACTACATAAGTACATGGAATGACCTCACGAGCAGGGGTACACACCTGTTACAGCAGCAGTATCATTCTAATTAGAGCATACACGTAGGTATCATCCCTAACATATTAAAATCTAATGGAATAGCTGTATCAGCACTGCCATTTATGAATTCAACATTTATTCTTGTCCTTATTAAATATAAATTTGGAAATCTGATCACTATAACAACCATTTCATTGTAGGAACAGTCACACTTTTGCTGACCTCCAGCTTAGCTAGAACAATCAAATGTTTTGGATGGCCAAGGGAAATAAAGAGCCAAAATGACATACAGAATATGAGTGCTCTTGAACTGTGATCATTGTTAACAAATGCTAACCGGAAGCCTTAAATGACTGCAAGTAGCCAGCCCTTGCAGTTTATAAGGGTCACCATGGATACTGTACGAACATCCGAGTAAAAGAGACTGAACGCACATGCAACACAAACACCTTTGCATGGAAGACAGTAGCATTTCACTGTCTGTCAGTATGTGCTCGGGCCAGATTATTACTTTTGTTTTGCAGTATATATACTGGATGGGCTCCAAAAAGAAGAGTCTGCCACTTTCTCTCCTTGCTCCCCAGATTTCAAAAGTCATCCTAACCCTTGATGTAGCATAATACAGAAGAAAATTCATAGGACTTTGAAAGCATAATACAGAAGAAAATTCATAGGACTTTGAAATGAGAAGATGGGTTTCATCAAGGCTTCCACCAGCTTCTGCTAATACTTGTTAAAAGCATAGGAATTAGTGGGTATAGAGGAAAAGGATATGACATTCAGTTTTTTAAACAGTTGACAGAATATCAGTTCGATTATTAGGACCTGGAAGAAGAGAATTAAAAAGATAGTTGTTCCCTCCAGGCTACTCCCCCACTCCCAAGAAAAGTGATATAGACACAGAAGGGGCGGGGGGGAAGGAAAGTAAAAAATCATATAGGGTGAATACCTTTCTCCACAACTCTAACTCGGATTTCTCCTGGTTTGACAACAATGTCAGGTGGGTTCTTGACATCGCAAATGTAAGTGCCGTTGTCCCGGAACTGCATGTTTGATATACTGATAGAAGCATCTTTCTTGTTAAGATCTCCAGCCCAAGTGATTCTGTCTTTAAATGGTATGTCCTTTCCAGGGTATGGCTTTCCATTAAAGTAATAGAAAAACTGTAGTCAAGGAAAAGAGGATATAAGAACAATCCAATTAGAGATTACAGAGCTACCATGCTTCTCTGACTATTACAGCATCCTCCCAGAATCCACTGTATTATACACAGCTGTATTTGAGATTTTTTTTTTCCTCCTGCCTCACCACTTTAGTCTAGCTTGTTGCCTCGTGATCACATAACCTTGCTATGGCTTATGCCTGAATCATACTACCACAACAGACTGCATGTTTTGGTTTCCTGTTGGTTTTGTTTTGTTTTGTGGTTGGATTGTTTGGGGTTTTTTCCTGTTTTTTGGGACATGGGGTTTCGCAGACAAGGAGGTGGGGGAAAGAGAAAAAGGCTGGTAACCTGGGAATAATTAAAGGATAGAACAGTTCTGGATCACAGCCATCTGTCTTTCAGACATAGGAAGCCTTCTGCATCCTAGTAGGAAAAGGATACCAAGTTTCCTATCTCGTGTTTTGCTGTGTGTTACTTGCAACTACAGCACAGATAAATTAACATGCACTACCCTCCTTCCCTCCACCCCCAGAAGATTCCCATGAGCAATTTAGAGCATACCTAGCTGTTTTCCAGAAACCTTCACAGTGACTAAATAAAACTGTCTCCCAGTTTTTAGGTGACTAAGTTGCACATTGGCCCTGCACTCCCTAGACATGACCAAAAATCCTTGAAGAATGAACCTGTTTAGTACAGTCTGAGGAGAAGCTGCGTATTTCCTCACTATACCTGACCAAAATTGGAATTTACAGCAGTAGAAGCGCGTAGACTTCTACAGGACAACTCTGCTTTCAAACATATGGGATGTTTGAACACTGGCCATAACCCTAAGAGGTGGATCAAGGCTGTATTGCAGAAGCACATTCATTCTTAATTTCACATTCTGAAAGACAGCAAGACAAACTTAATTCAACCAAGAATCAAACCGAACTCTCCTCAGTTCAGCCTCCAGAGCATGGTTAAAGAAATTTAAGACAATATTCCAGCTTCCTCCTTCTACAGCCTTCTTTACGAAGCAGTCTTTCTGCCACAGAGCAGGCTGGCTACAAGCCAGTCCTCTTTCCATTCAAGTCATCTCCCGTCTCTTTTCCTGTTCCTACCCTTGATCTAAGGCTTGCCATTCCAACATTCTCTCTATCAGACCCACACTCTGAGTATGAGGCCTGATCATTTGGCAGCACAAATCTTATCCAGATCAGGTATGTGCACATGACCATCTGTTGTGCTGCAGTCAATCTGACACTTATTTGTTGTCTACAGGCTAGCATATATCCAACAAACTATCTCATCTGGTAGGAAGTCTGCTAGCACACAGTCATCTGTCAACATTTCGGAGGAAATCTGCATCAATCTGCAGCATTTCCAGCTGGATTATAATCTTGAGCACAGAGGCACTGCATTACCACACCCCTGTGCATGGGGGAGTCATCCGACTGGAAGTCTAGAAGGCAAGAGGCAGATTCCTCAGTTCTCTAGGTGTCCTCACCTGGGAGAGGAGAAATCACAAAGTAAAATATGTCCTGAAACACAAGCTAAGTGACTCAAGCCACTCCATGCCTATGATTAAGTGATTTAACATGAGACTTCTTTTGAAACCTAAAGCTGATGGGTTTAGACTGGTTTAAGCCAATTGTGAAACTCTGCTGTCATCAGATGTTTCATTCACGCAGAGATGCCTCTATAACTGGGCATATGGAAGAGGAAGGGGACAAGCAGCGGAAGCTTTCAGTCAAGCCAGCCTCACCACATGGCCACAAGATTGCCGGTGCTGATTCTAAAGAGGCACAGAACCATCTTTTTCAGGAGAAGCATGGACTTAGCTCAGACGTAAGCTGATCATGAGATTGATCTTTCAAATTAATGCCCACCAAGCCATGTAATTGACATGACTTGGGTTCATAAAAAAAAAAATCTTCCCTCTATACCTCCCCCAGCCCCTCAAAAGAAATGGGGAATTAACATCAGTTCATGCTGGGTCACTTCTGCTCAAAGATAATTTGCTTTTCTCTCAGTTGTGCTGATAACTGCATCCAGGTAGAATGTCTAAATTGACTTCACTTCCAAAAAAAATATTATGTCCTGAAGTTGTATTTCTACAGAAAGGGGTTTGGACAGTGATGCAGAAAGGGAAGGGCAAATCAGGATATATGGTGGATATTTCTATGGGGAGTGGAAAACATACAAACAGATGGCTTCTTTTCACCCATCCTATTCAACATTGGCAGGAAATATGCTCTACTTCCTCAAGCTTTTGCCCAGCTACTGCTTTGGCTTCCCAAAGAGAAACGTTCCCTTTTCAAAACTAAATATTTATTCACTGCGAGTTCAGAAGCTGATTCTTCAGAGCTCTATATATTGAGCAAGATGCTCATACACTGTTTTGGATCGTCTCTGTTCTGAGCACTGAAGGGCTCCTAGAGTTTAAATGATCTCACCTCTGCAGCAGAGGGAAGGAGACAAACACTAACAGGCTGAGCAACCTGCTGTCCCCACATCTTCCCCGCTGCCCCAGAGTCCCTTGTTCTGCTTCATCTAAATTCACGCTCAGGGCAAGGAATAAGAGGGAAGCAGAAGTGTCAGAGAGCTCAGACTCAGATGTGCACAGCTAACAACCTACCAAAGCCACTTCTTTGAAGGTTCACACCCAAAGGATCTGAGCACACTTGGGCTCAACATACAGGAAATGAGTGATGGCAATTATTATTAGCTTAAGTTGCTTGCTAGTCTTGACTTTTTACTTGTCAAATAACTAAAATATGAGGATGTAACTGCTTACTGATTTGAGCAATTCAATTTTGTTCTGAAACCAGGGAGGCTGGTCTTATTTTAAACCCTTTCAAATACAGGCTATACAGTACACAAGCAGAAAATAAGCAACAAGCACAACACACAATGTAACACTGTAATAGTGGTAATTCAAATTCTGTGACTGCTATCATTCAGTGCACAGCTCCACAGCTCATTTCAAGTGCCAGAGGACACAGAACTTAGGAGAAGATTCCTAGACACTCATCTACTTCATGCATACTGCTACCACACCAACACCCCTCTCCTCTGACTAACAAAGTACTAGTATACTTTACAGCTGCTGCACACTCCAGTCTTTGCAGACATCTAGCATATGGCAATACTTTTAAACAACTCTAAAAAAGCCCCCCTAAAATCACAGTGATGGAGACAAGACACATGGAAGGAGGCTCCAATCCATATTTGCTTGCTCCTCAGAACCAACTAGAAGACCTCTGCACGCTTATCACAGCCTCCCCTCCCAGATTTGTTCCCCTACAGCCATTCCTTACTGAGATACGAGTTGCAGCTCCCTCTGGCTGAAAACTCCAAGAAACAGATGCTGCGCTGCTGATCACTTCCACAGATGTAAATGTGCATGGAAGCTTTGCGTCTGTCCCATTCTCCACAAATATCTCCTCCGGTGTGTTGACCTCTACTGCTGATACTTTGACTGTATGGGAAAGGTAAAGAGAAGAAAGAAGGAGAACAAACGGCATCAGTGCTGTTTCAAGAATCAGGAAGTTGAAGTGGTAACTGTTCATATCACATTGCCTGTAAGGGGAAAAGGTAAGAGACATCAACAACTCCTACATCAAGTGTGTACACAGACATTACATTATACCTGCAAAACAAACAAGTACAGAGCAGGCCAGTTCACTTCTCTTTCCTTGTATTATCTGTTACAGGACGTTTTCCATCCACAGATGTTTCCTCTACAGCAGTTTGTGGAAGTCAATTCTATAGTGCAAAGGATGAGTTTAAAACTCTTTCCTACTAGCTGCCAGCAGGCATTGTAATAAATAAGCCCCATCGGAGGAAGTAACATCTTGGACCCAGCTATTAGTCAGTTTCCTCTCTGCCTCACATCTTGTTTCCCATCTCCAGTTTTTCTCAGCTGTAGGTAGAACAAAAGCTCACCTCCAGAAAGCTGAGGAGTAAACCTCTCTGGCTCCCAGCTATGCCATCTGCTTCTGCTCTCTGGCATGCTTCAAGGTCTTCATGTGCAAGACCTCATAAATAATCACTCAGCTATAGTTCAGAAGCATGAGAGTAGTTCCATTTTTTTCTACCATGAGGCTTATGCACGGTCAAAACAGCAAGCAGACCACAACCACGCCCCAAATTTAAAGTAAGCAAGGTTAATATTGTGCTTGTACTGGTAGTTTTCCTACAGAGTAAGTGAAATTCAGTGTGAT